TGGTGGCAGGAGCCTCTCCCACCTCTGTGGCAGCACTAAGAATGTCCAACTAATGGTTTAGGCCCGATTCCTTGGGGGCCTAAGCCTTTAGTCAGACATCCCCCGAGGGCTCCCTGGCTGCCAGAAGGATGTCTGACTGCAAGCTTAGGCCTGATCCCCCGGGGAGTGGGCCTAAGTCAACAGGTGGACATCCCCCAAGGGGTCCTGGACTGCAAATGGGCGCAGGCCAGGCTGAGGGATGCCCCCCACACGAGTGCACAAATTTTTGTGCACCGGGCCTCTAGTGAATATATAAAAGCACAGTTTGGCCAAAGTAGGATGACAGGTTTAATTTCCGAATGATGATAAAGCAAGACATTCTTAAAAGCATTAGCATAGTTATTTTGAAATGCTTTTGTGTCCAAGCTGAGGAGTGTAAGGAAAGACTGAGGGGGTGGTGGTATCTGTGCTCCATTTACTACCTACCTTTTACACACTACTTTTCATAATCCTGTGCCAAAAAGTGGCAGTTTTGTAAGATTAATGATATGGTTAGAAAAATGAACAAAAAACGGATCAGCAATTCATCAAGGCCGCTAGCCCAATGATAGCCCATGTAATTAAAATTTAACAGTCTATTCATTCTAGTTCCCTCTATAAATGAACTTGGTGACATGAGGTTACTCTAGAAGACTCTCTCTGCAGACTTCTCATTCACAACCATATGTACCTTACGCTGAAATTTCTCACCCTATTTCATCTTTTTTCCCTTTACAGTATGCATGTTAGTGATTACATAGTAAATACTAACATTATAAATTATTCTTATTGATTACATTTTGATCTGCTATTGTTTCCTTTTCTTCCAGGTTTTGCAAATCTCATTAACTGTCTCTTTCTTCAGACATATCAAGAACAGAATATTTGCAGAAATGTGATCTTTGGATTTTAATTTGTCTGGAAGAAACCAGTTAATTTGCAAAATAATCACAATGTATTCTTTTATTCCAAAAAGTTTCTGAATTACATTAATGAAGTTTAGGAGTCATTGAAGTCATTGGTTATATGTAACATAAAATTTTTGGAATCATAATACATCACTCCATGAACTTTTTATTTGTTTTTTCAACATATCAAATATTTCAAAATATCAAAATATTCTGCAGTTTAGAAATTTACCTTGAGTTATTTTCTGAATTCATGGAATATTAAAATCAAAATGTAGTTAAATACTATGATATATTTTGAGTTTCTTATATAGAAAATATTAATTAGGCAATTATAGCATGTACCTTACATTTGCAAATTTTAAGAAAATGATGCTGATTTATAGGAAATTTAAAAGAAAGATTGAAAATCTTCATGATACATCTCTACTGAACTAATCATTTATTTTTTCTGATAATGCTTACAAATAAATAATAAACTTAAAATTTTAGAGATTTGGATATATTTTGGTGGTAATAATATCATATTAAAATAACAATGATTTTTAACTGTGGTAGAAAAAAACCTATTCTGAATGACCACTGAATTCCAATACTTTTTACTTGCTCTTCATTTGCTTCTCTTTTTCCTTAAATTTTGTTCAATGTGTGTGTGCACAATTCCCTGGAGGAAACAAAAATAACCTAGTTTTCTATTTTCTTAAAAATGATAGTGTGAGAACAAAAAACAGTGTTTTGAAAAATAAAAATAACTACTATAAAGATGTGAGCTGTTTTTATATCATTGTTGTCCTTTATAGCAAAAGGCTGTCTTGACCTTGAGAAAATGAAGAAAGGATAGAGTAACTGAAGATCCTACATTGCTCCCACCCCTTTAGAAGGCTCACACTCATGTACTAATTCAATCACATCTCTTTTCATCTATATGTTCAGTACATTGAAGGTTTTAGAGACCTGTAGAATTTTTTTTTATTATTTTATTGATTTTTTACAGAGAGGAAGAGAGAGGGATAGAGAGTTAGAAACATCAATGAGAGAGAAACATCAATCAGCTGCCTCCTGCACACCTCCTACTGGGGATGTGCCTGCAACCAAGGTATGTGCCCTTGACCGGAATCGAACCTGGGACCTTTCAGTCCGCAGGCTGAAGCTCTATCCACTGAGCCAAACCTGTTAGGGCCCTGTAGAACTTTCTTAAGTCAGCAAAAAAGAAAATAGAATTACCATTTTCTCAAAAGTGACTTGCAAATAGACATGCCTTATATTCTTTAAGGAAAATTATCTTGGATTTAAAGCTCATTTTCAAATTCTTATTTTCTCTAAAACATTAAGTACATTGATAGCAAAAATCTGTCTCCTACTTGGGAGTTGAAAGTGGACTTACTGGTAATCACATCAATGTTATAGATTTGATTACATATATTTGATTTTGCATCAAGGAAACAAAAAGGGTTCTCTTGATACCAAATTGCCTATTTTAAGTGAATACAGTTAATTCACAAAATACATGCACCACTGATTGAATCTATCACCTTTATGGTTGTACGGAATATTGTCTTGAAAGACAATGCTTTACACCATGAATAAAATAAAGACTTGTTTGATAATATAAAATAGAGTAGATCAGGATCATCTGTCTCTAACTTGCTTTTTCAAAAATTTTTGAAATAGAAAACTAAGTAAGTTCTGAAAATCAACCTGGACCAGAAGTGAACCATTCAATTTAGTTAGAATTGAGGGCAACAATGGTTCCTTACTTCCCCTTCCAATTTTCATATCACTCACAAAAACACATTTAACTGGCTTCAGTCTCCTCATCTTCATTATGTTTTCAAAATTTAGAGTGATTTTGTGATGATACTATGAAAGTGCAATACTTTCAAATTCTTCTAGATAAGGATATGTGTATTCAGTCAACAAGCATTTATGCAGCACCTACTCTGTGCCAGGAGCATTACTCCCTGTAGGATATGAAGATGGAGAGACACATACATAATTCCATCACAGGGCTGGCTTTAGGGGTATACAGCCTGTCCTAAGAAGAGCTCCACACTTGGTTTAGTACTTGGCAGTTCCCAACTTGACATTTTAATAATTTTGGAACAAAGGATGTCACATTTACATTTTGCACTGGGTTCCGTGATTCGTTTGCTGGCCCTGTCCCTATAGTTAAACTCACACAGCCTGACATGAAAAAATGTTTTATATATGTGATATTCTTTCTAAACATGCAGAAAGAGTATGCGTAAGTATGCCTAGAGCAGTGGTTCTCAACCTTGGCTGCACATTAGAATCACCTGGGAGTCTTTTTAAAAATCCTGATTTCTGGGCCTCATCCTCTGGAAATTCTGTTTCTTTGTTATGGGGTGGGGCCACAACATTAGTATGATCCTAATGTGCAGCCAAGGTTGAGAACCACTGCCTTAGAGGATCAGAGAATGTTTCAAAAAAGGAGAGCCATTCATTCAACAATTATTGAGTGACTACTATGTGTTGAGCACTTTTCTAGGTGCTAGAGAAACAATAGTGAATAAAACAAGATGAAAGAAAAATTGCCCTCATGCGGATTACATTCAAGTCAGGGCAGTCAAACAACAAAACTAATATATCAGATGATGGGAAGAGCTATAGAGAAAAAAGTTAGGAAGTAGAATAAAATATCTTATGGGACTAAGAGGATTGTAGTTTTAAGTAGGATTTGCAAAGAAGGCAGCACAGAGAAAATGACTTTTGAGTAAAGAAAACAAAGGCAATCTACACTAATAAAAGAGAAACATGGTAATTAGCGTACGACCGCTACCATTTTCATTGGCTAATCAGTGAGTATATGCAAATTAACTGTCAGCCAAGATGGCGGCCTGCAGCCAGGCACTGAAGCGAGCAGGGAGGCTTCCTTGCTGCGGACTCCAACGTTCCCCGCCTCACTTGCCAGGCTCTCAGTTGCAACTCTAAGCAACTATATACTATGTTGCAAATAAGAAGCTAAACAAAACCCCAGAAAAGGGCTTCCATTCAGCCGGGCTAGAGAAACATCGACCAGCTGCCTCCTGCACACCCCCCACTGGAGATGTGCCCACAACCAAGGTACATGCCCTTGACCGGAATCGAACCCGGGACCCTTCAGTCAGCAGGCCGACGCTCTATCCACTGAGCCAAACCGGTCTCGGCAGGATTGTAGTTTTAAATAGGATTTGCAAAGAAGGCAGCACAGAGAAAATGACTTTTGAGTAAAGAAAACAAAGGCAATGACAGAATAAAAGGAAAGTACACTGTAAGCAAGAGGAAACAGCAATTAGGAAGGAAGAAAGGACCAGAGACAACAGTAAACATGTTGACTTCAAGGAAGGGTGAGGAAGCCAGTGTGGCTAGAGTGAAGTAGGGTTGGGTACTGGGAGGCTGAGATGAAAAGTTCAGTGGGAGGGGAAAGGCCTGGTAGGCTCTTATCAGCCACTCTCAAGGCGTTTGTTTTTACTGAGTGAAATGAGAAGCAATTGGCAGGTTTTGTACCAGTGGCAAGATTGCGCCCTTGTCAAGATTGGGCTTTTAGGCACAATCTTGCTGCCATGAGACTTAAAAAAGGTACAAGTGTGGAAGCAGGGAAAACAGATTGGTTTTTATTTAATAATCTAGATAAGAAGGATAGTAGGTTTGGCCAGAGAGTAGAGGTGGAGTTGGTGAGAAGTGATCTGATTCTATATGTGATTTTTGGTGCAGTCATCAGAATTTGTCAATAGTTTGAGTGTGGAGATATAAGAGAAAAAGGGGAGTTGAAGATGACTTAGTAACTGGATGGATGGAGTCACTTCTTATGGATATGGGACAGAATTTGGGAGAAGCAAAGAATTTCAAGTTAACACTTAAAATTTCAAAAATCCTACTGAAGCGATCTGTTATGTGTCTGTACCCCCCACTAGTCTGTAAAAAAAAAACTCAAAGTTAGGGATATTTTGAATCGTCTTTGCAACTCCAAAGCTTTGCTCAGTACTTGACAATATAGGTGGCCAACAGATGCTAATTAACTTTAAGTCAGATCACTCAGTAGGTCACCAGATAAAACCCAATTGCCCTCCTAGGTTGCCTGATGCTGACTGTACTCAATGGTTTTGATTTCATGAGGCTATCATAAATACAAACTGTCCAAACTTGTTTGGTAATTAGTAGCTGCTAAATCAATAACTCACTGCCACCCACATCTTCTTTCTCCAGGAGCCTCAATGAGGGATGTTGGCAAAGTAAAAACATTAAAAGGATCTCAATGAAACAATTTTAAAAATAATATTACAATGAAAATAAGGTCAGACAGTCCTAAGTGTTTAATGTTTACAATATTTGTTAAGTACTTGTATACTTTTATTTCCTTTATCTGATCCTAAGGGTTTAATGTTTACAATATTTGTTAAGTATTTGTATATTTTGTTAAGTACTTGTATACTTTTATTTCCTTTATCTGGTCTTAGAGGGGTAATTCTTCAGAGACATAATAATAGCATTGCAATATTTTCTTTTTAAAGCCTCACCTGAGGATATTTTTTCATTGATTTTTAGAGAGAGTGGAAGGGAGGGGGAGAGACAGAGAGAGAGAGAAACATCAATGTGAGACACATTGATTGGTTGCTTCCCGCTTGAGCCTCGACCAGGGCTGAAGATTTAACCTGCAACCAAGGCATGTGCCCTTGACCCAGAATCAAATCTGTAACCCTCTGGTCCTTGGGCCAACACTCTAACCACTGAACAACTGGCCAGGGCTGTGCATTTAATTAGTAATTCTTCATAAACACAAGAAAAGGATTACCTGAATTCTAGTATATCAATTTGTTATATACGTATATATTTATAGTAGCATATATTCATCCATATTCATTAAAATATTATTGACATCATTTTTCCATCTTCCAGTTTTCGTCTATTTCTAAGCCAACTAATCCTTTTTTTTATAATATTTCTGGTATTTCTGTTCAATCTATAAACACTGTACCAGATATGGATTTACCATCAGAAAAGTCAGATTTTTCAGAAATATTACCTATCTTTATTTTCTCTAAATTAAATCTATGAGCCCCAATATTATAATCCTAGCTGGGTGGACCTTTTCAATGCCTAGGTTTTTAGAAGGAGATTCATGTATTGGGGAGAAGAAAAAAAAGACTTCTTTCA